TCTAGGGTCACATTATCATTTCTACGCCAGAAAAATGGGATATTTTATCACGTCGATGGAAACAACGAAAAAATGTTCAAAATGTTAATTTATTTATTGTTGATGATTTACATGTGATTGGTTCCGATGAAGGGGTAAGTTAAAGAAAAGGACAATACTATTGAGTACTCTTATAAAAGACGTTCGATGAATAGTTTGATACAGAGATCTTTTACTATTGTGTTTTTTCGTTTTAGCCTGTTCTTGAAGTCATTTGTTCTCGTATGCGTTATATGAGTTCTCAAATTGGTCGTAACGTTCGTATTGTATCTATGGCTACATCGATACTTAACGCAAAGGATATTGCTCAATGGCTTGGCTGTAGTCCAAATGCAACATTTAATTTTCGACCCAGTGTTCGACCAGTTCAACTTGAATTACATATTCAAGTAAGTTTCGTATTGCTTTCAGATTTATCAAAAGACTTTTTTCTTTAAATAATCTAGGGTTTTAATATGACACATAATGCATCGCGTTTAATCGCCATGGCTAAACCTGTTTATCAAGCAATAAATCGTCATTCACCGAATCAATCAGTGATTGTTTTTGTTCCATCACGAAAATTATCTCGTATAACAGCCATCGACATTTTAACATTCGCTGCTGCCGAACAAAAACAAGATCGATTTTTACATATATCAGCAGCTGAAATCGAACCATTTACAAACGAACTCGAAGATCAAACATTAAAGGAAACTGTTCTACGGGGTGTTGCCTATCTACATGAAGGTTTAAGTCATAAAGATCGTACTATTGTTGAAGAATTGTATACAGCTGGTGCTTTACAAGTTTGCATTGTATCACGTAGTATGTTATGGACATTGAATCTATTTTCCTATTTGGTTATTATTATGGACACACAATATTATAATGGCCAAGATCATACCTATGATGACTATCCTATCAATGATGTTTTACAAATGATCGGCCGCGCTAATCGTCCATTGAAAGAAGTCGATGCTAAAGTTGTGTTAATGTGTTTATCATCGAAAAAAGATTTTTTCAAAAAATTTCTTTATGAACCATTACCTATTGAATCCCATCTTGATCATTGTTTACATGATCATTTCAATGCTGAAATTGTAACCAAGACAATTGAAAATAAACAAGATGCTGTTGATTATTTAACATGGACATTACTCTATAGACGTATGACACAAAATCCGAACTATTATAATTTACAAGGTGTTTCACATCGGCATCTATCAGATCATCTATCAGAATTAGTTGAAAATACATTAACTGATCTTGAGCAATCAAAAGTAAGAGAAATTTATTTTGAATAAAAACCTAAACGACACAAAAACAATTTCTTTAATTTTAGTGTATTACAATTGAGAATGAAATGGATACATCACCACTTAATCTTGGCATGATTGCTGCTTATTATTATATTAATTATCGAACTATTGGTAAGTTTTATGTTCAATCGATATTTTTATTCTTATTTGTTGTTTTTTATCTTACAGAATTATTCAGTAAATCATTAACGGCGAAAACCAAAATTAAAGCATTACTTGATATTGTTGCTAATGCTGCTGAATTTGAACATATTCCAATTCGACATCACGAAGAAAATATTTTGAAACAGGTTCGATACTTTGTTTTGAACACGGAGAAAATTTTATGTTGATTTCTATTCCTTTTAGCTTGCTACACGTTTACCAAATAAATTAAATAATGTTAAATTTAATGATCCACATGTTAAAGCAAATCTTTTACTTCAAGCACATTTATCACGTATTCAATTGTCAGCGGAACTTCAAAAGGATACTGATGAAATTTTAATTAAAGTAAATTTTTTTTGTTTTCAAAAATTGTTGCTTCATTGAATTTTTTAACTTTATTTAGGCTATTCGACTTATTCAAGCATGTGTTGATGTCTTAAGTTCGAATGGCTGGTTATTACCAGCATTGGCTGCTATGGAATTGGCACAGATGGTTACTCAGGGAATGTGGAATAAAGATCCATATTTACGTCAATTGCCACATTTTACATCAGAAATAATTCAACGATGTACAGAAAAGGTATGTGCACAGAAATTATTTTTCGCTGTCTACAGCTTGAGAAAATGTTCAATCCGATCACGGCAGACTACAAAGAGTATTTTAGTTTTGTGATCATTTTTTTCCATCGTAAGGGCTTGAAAAGATAAGGGATATGTTCGAAATATTACTACGATGAGAAACAATAATTCATAGGAGTTCGATCTTTTTAAATTGATTTTATTTTATTTAGAAAATTGAAACCGTATTTGATTTAATGGAAATGCAAGACGAAGATCGCGTTGAATTACTTCAACTAAGTACATCGAAATTAGCTGATGTTGCTCGATTTTGTAATCGTTATCCAAATATTGAAGTGTCCTATGATATTCCTGATAAAGATGATGTATCAACAGGCAGTATCGTTAATGTAAATGTAGCATTAGAGCGTGCCGATGAAGTATCAGGACCCGTTATAGCGCCATTGTTTCCACAGAAACGTGAAGAAGGTTGGTGGTTAGTCATTGGAGAACTAAAAACAAATGCTTTAATATCAATCAAACGTTTAACATTACAACAAAAAGCTCAAGTTGTTCTCGATTTTAATGCACCTTCAGCTGGCACACATAATTATATTCTATATTTTATGTCGGATGCTTATATGGGATGCGATCACGAATATAAATTTTCACTTAATGTTCATAAAGGAGCTAGTAATGATGTTGAGATGAAATAATCATCGTATCTTTTTTTTTTCTTGTCCTTCTTTTTTTTGTAAGTGTCTTTGTTGTTGTTGTTGTTGTTCTTTGATGGTGTGTACTTGTAATGAAATTACTTGAAAAGAAAGAACAAATTTGTCTCTTAATCTAGCTAACATTCTGTATATAAGAGGATACTGAATTGGTATAATGATTTCATTCAAGTAAAATACATGGAAATACTAATTCGTTTTCTTTTTTTCTATTTATGAAAATCTGAAGAAAAATTATGTTTATTCGAGCAACTGTTTCTTAATGATTGACTATGAGGTCAGATGCCGATCGGCACCGAATTGGTTTTTAACTTTATCATGCTAACTAACATCGTATCATTCAAGTAGCGATTCAAAAGAATATCGAATGGAGAATTGGATCGCAGTTGTCACTACTGTTTGAGTTTAAGAAGATTTTATTCAAAACGAAAAAATAAACAAACGAGATTTGAGTAATTAGGCATTTACATGGAAAATCAAACAAAGATTAGCATGATTATTATCGGCAAAAAATCGATCATGTCTATTCTTTGGTACCAACCTCGGCATTGAGATGAGCTACTGGTGTTTCGTTAATTGTGAACTGATCGCCGGACAACCAGCCCTCATTTTCTGCATCTGCTTTCTTGCGTGGGTCAAAATCCGGTGATTCTTGCTTCGGCAATTTCAGCGGCGATGATCATTTTTTCTTCTGAAAATATTTTCGAATAAATGATTTGGAAATCTGCAATAAAACAATCATACCTGAACTTGGCGAACTCATTTCGTGTTAGAGAACTAGTGTTGTTCATACCCTGTTGTACACGTAGCAAATTTGATTTTGTATTTGCTAAATCATCGATATGCATACGCCTATATGCTAATTATTGTACTAACAAATCACTGATGAAAAATGCAATAGGAGAAGGAAAAGCTAATGTATTTTTGCGTATGTGTAACATAATTAGAACCAGACGTCTCTTAACTGTTGCCAATCCGAGTTAGTCGACGACATCCAGTGAACAAGGGCACTTATAGCTTATTGGTTGAGAGTATTGAGTACGCTTTTGTCAGAGATGATTCTGATATTGACATAGGCAGAGACATAACTCTTCGGATTAGATATTTTACACGATTGATTGCACATCAGAGAATGATGGAAAGCTTTAAAAATAGTAGCACATATTCATACGTAAAATGACAAGACAACAATCATCAATATATGAGATATTACGAATGTTGGTCCGATCATATTTTCGCATATAAAACACATATAAATTTGTTCAAAGAATCAGACTAATGAAAATATGAACTAACGTTTATTCAACATGATCCTAGTGAATGTATTAGACTTTAGTCAAGTATTGATCGATATTTGTTACCGTCCAGTCATGCACGTTCAATATATGTTAGGACAAATGAATTTTTGTTCAGAATAGTAATATCCAAGTTATATACATATGTCACCAGATCAATTTTTTGTTTATTTCGAACACACTAGAGTAGGATTTTTTCCAATACTTATCAACACGATGTACATAGCCCTGAATTCTTATCAGTTGTGGAAACTACATCAGAAAAGAATCTTCATATGGTTCTTACTACAAACAGATGGAGCCATTTGTTCCTGAAAAACAAATTATCGTTGCATAAAAATGTTGTTTCACATTGATGTGACTTAAAATAAAAATGTATTTGTACTTATTACTCGTGAAGTAATATTTTGGAAGCACATTCAATTGATGCATTTTCGTTACAACGAAACTTAAGTAAAGTTTATTCCGAAGCAATAGATGCGAAATTAAAAGCGTCTTCACTCGTTATGTTTATACTGTCACTCGAATATGTATTAACGCAAAACATTTTATGTGATAGTTTTCTATTGGTGAAAAATCTTTGATGTGGATTCGAGCAACTATCTCTTGATTGTGAACTGTTAGTTGAGATGATGATAACTATCGAACTAGTTTTGTACTTCAGAGTGCTAACTAATATCGTATTATTTGAGTATCTATTCAAAAGAACATCGAGTGGAGAATTGGATTACAGTTGTCACTGCTGTTTGAGCTATGAACCTCTGCAACTTGAAAACAAAAAAAAATATAGATCTGAATTACTCGCTCGTTTAAGAAGATTTTATTTAAAAAAGTGCAGCAAATAACAAACGAAGTGTGGGTGATTGAAATTTGCATGAAAAAACAAATGAAGATGACAACGATTATTATTCGTCAACAGCCTGTTTTATTTATTCTTTGGTACCAACCTCGGCATTGAGATGAGCTACTGGTGTTTCGCTAATTGTGAACTGATCGCCGGACAACCAGCCCTCATTTTCTGCATCTGCTTTCTTGCGTGGGTCAAAATCCGGAGTTTCTTGACCGGTGATTCTTGCTTCGGCAATTTCAGCAGCGATGATCATTTTTTCTTCTGAAAATATTTTCGAATGAAATGATTTGGAAGTCTGCAATAAAACAATCATACCTGAACTTGGCGAACTCATTCTGTTATATTTCGTGTAAGAGAACTAATGTTGTTGAGAAACCTTGTTGTAAGCGTAAGCAATTTGATATTGTAGATACCAAACGATCACTATGCATTAGCTTATATACAAATGGTTGTGCTAACAAATCACTACGGAAATACGCAATAGGAGAGTGATAAAAGAACTCTTTTTCTGCGTATATACGACACCAATAGAGCAGCAGATGTTTCTATAATGCTATCGTTCTGGGTTACCAAGGGCGTTAGACGATCGAGGATCTCTATAATTTATTAATTGTGATTGGGTTATTGAGTACGGTTTCTTTTGCTGCGGTAATACTGCATTCAAATCAGAGAACGATAGAAACCTTGAAAAATACTAGCAAATGCCTGATGTAAAAGAGCAAGATAGCAATCATCAATAGATGAATAACAAAGAAGTACCCGAACTCATCAATAATGCAAATGACTTTATCGAAGATGTAGAAGATTTTACCAATATTGTTCGAATATTATTTTCAATGTGAAGAATCAGTATTTGCTTTGCATATATAAAACACAGACATGACTTCATCGTCTAAACCTTCAATAGAGAAAGAATAAGCCTAATGACGATCAATGGAAATACGAATCAATTTTAATTGAAGAATTTTCCACTGAATCTATTAATCGTTACCCCTCATTGCATAGATGTTCGACATACTGTGAAAACAACTAAAATTCTAGTTTTAGTGTGTAATAGAATACTAGTTTTATCCAAAATAGACTATTTTCTAAAATAAATTTATTGTCAATAGTTCTTTTGAAAGTTTATTTTACGTTGATCGTCTTTAGAAGAATATATGAGTAAATCATATCAATATGAATTTGAATGGCAATTATTAACAAATCGAACAATTGCAACATCGATACTATTAATATGTAAGATAAAATTTGAAAAGTCTTTATCTGTCGTTTGCTATAGTATGTAATCATCATCTTTTTTAGCCTGTTTACTAAGAAAATGGATTATGTTCGACTCTATAATTCTTTATCGATATTAGCTCGTAAAATGATCTCTCCTCAACGTGTCAATATGATCTTACAGAAGACACAGCAGAAAAGAACATCCCTAATGATATAGTTCACATTGAGAAGAACGAAATTATTGTTAAAGAAGTCCTAATTTTTGTTGCATATATAATTTCTGACCATTCAAAACTTTTCTTTTTAAAATACAACTATTATTTAACCTCAATCAAAAACATTTGTAACACGTTATGAAAATTTGTTCAAATACTGGATACACGAATGATTTTAGAGACGAATAGTAATTCAAGCATGAACTATCTACACTCGAACATTATTTGGAAGTTTTCTTATAGTTAGAGACTAATTAGAGCTATGATCAACAAATATTTCATTGAAGTTTACTCCGTCAAATCTAAAGTGTTATACAGCTGTTATTATTATTAAAGCATCCTTTTCTGATATGGTATACATGCGAATTAATTTGTCTTTCCTCGAAGTGGTGAAGAAAAAACCAGTCCATACGATTAGCGGGAGCTTGCTCATTATTTTTCATTGAATCATATTTCAAAGCGAGTAGTATTGATTAGTACATTCCTATCAAGTTCATATCTTTGGATGTCATACGGAAAAATTTTCTGAGTTGAAGTCCCAGTCAGATGACCTTCGAATTGGATTGTAGTGACCTTCTACAGAATTGTCATCACTGAGTCGCTTAATGACGACAGAATGATTAACAATATATGCAGTAAAATGAAAAAAATGATCGACAGCGATATTTCTGTCGTTTTGAGTCATTCCTGTTTGTGCTTATTGGTTGTAACTCTCAACACAGCGAATGTACTGACGAATTGTGTTCATCTTGTATGATATTTTGAATTATTCATTAATGATCATTGCGAGATAAAAAAAAACGATTGTTTGGTTAAGAAACGAGGTATGTTCAGATTTCCGAAAAAGTAAATTTCAGAAAATAACAAATTTCTGTTACACTATTAAAAGACACACAAGCGTGCCAACAGAAGTTTCCTTGAAACTTCAGAAATTGCCATTACGTGAAAAAGTAAATTCTCAGGAATTACCATATTTTAAAATACCAACCAACAAAACATCCAGGGAATTTCTGAATTTTGATTTTGGCTTATGGTGAATAATATTGCGGTAATTACGAAAGTTTCTGATATTTTCTACAACTTGAATTTTTCGTCCCTCTAGTTTCCGAAATATGTATATTTAGCTAGGAAATTTCCTCTTTTGGAAATCTGCCCACTGCTGTAAGAAACTAGAATTTCGATTGACCTTATTGTGTTTTTGGTAGTTAGCTTTGCATATTCAATCTACGATTGTCAACATTGGCTGTAAATTACTCATGCATAGTGTTGTAGTTAATTGTTCTGTTAACTTGTTAATAATATGCCTCATGTTAGTTGCTAGTACTATTGCATGTGCGCAATCAGCAAACATGTTCTGTTTTTTCTACTTCTTGATGCACATAATCATATAGTCGTTATATATATATATATATCATTATGATTGTATCGACAGGTATTGCCGAAAGAAAAAAGAGCTAGTTGACAGAATAGTGAGTCCTGTTGCTTCACATTTCACATATTGATAGAATATATGTTCACGCATCAGAAATAATGCTTTGATAGTACATCGCAATTTCTCCTTTTGCGTTTTTGCAACAAACGTCCTCTCAACTTTTTCATCAGTCAATTTGTTTTTTTTAAGTGCCTACTTTCGCATTTTTATTATTCTAATATTTCGATCTTGCTCAGGAAGTCAATACAACCAGTGCTGTATGCTGAACGAAGGAACTTCTATTCCAGTGGAATTATTGGAAGAAGCAGTCGTAGAAAATAGATCTGGCCAACATGACCAATCTACTACCAAAATCACAGCACGACAGATTCGTACAGTTCTCGTTTCTTCGACAGGTTTCTTCATGGACGCTTATGATATCTTTGTTATTAACTTGGCTGTGCCCATGCTTGGTTATGTTTATTACATGAATCAAAATAACACGGTACCATCAGATATTCAAGGCATCGTTAAGGGTATTACCAATGTTGGTAATCTAATTGGTCAGCTGGTGTTTGGTTTTTTAGGTGATAGTAAAGGCCGTAAAAGTATTTACGGTATTGAACTTTTAATTATTATTGTGGTTACAATTGGCTCTGCAATGGCTGGATCGGCGGCAACTGGTGTCGGTACATTGGGTTTTCTTGGTTTCTGGCGTTTTTTATTGGGTATTGGAATTGGTGGTGATTACCCCATGTCAGCAACAGTCTCGAGTGAATGGTCAAGTGCAGGACGACGTGGACAAATGCTTGCGATTACTTTTTCCATGCAAGGTTGGGGCCAATTTTTCGGTGCTTTGTTCGCTATTATTCTGCTAGCTATTTTCAAGGGTCCTATTGAAGCTAATCAAATCAATATTGATTATGTCTGGCGAATTTTACTAGCTCTTGGTATTTTACCTGCTGTATGTACACTCTATTCGCGCTTTCATCTACCAGAATCACCTCGGTATGCCGAACGAGTTCTCAAGGACCAGGAACTAACTGAAATTAGTAAAGCGTATGCACTCGGAGTAAATCCAAAAAGTTCCGCGAATCTGGTTCTAAATGAGCCAGTGATACAACCGACAAAACGTTCCGATAGTCGACATCATTTTCGAGATTTTCGAACTTACTTTTCAAAGTGGCGTAACTTGAAAGTTCTCATTGGTACTTGTTCAACTTGGTTTTTACTTGATATTGCATTCTATGGCCTTACTCTTAACCAATCAATTGTTATATCGACTATCGGCTTTGCACCAGACACAAGTACAACATCACCATGGGAAACGTTGTGGAAACAAGCACTTGGAAATTTGATCATTTCCCTTCTTGGTTCGATTCCTGGCTATTATGTTACTGTTTTCACTGTCGAACGTCTTGGCCGTAAGACCATTCAAATAATAGGTTTCGCCATGGAAACTATTCTATTTATTATTGTGGCTGCAGCATTTTATCCGTTGAAAGATCGATCTACAGGAGCATTTATTTTTATGTTTGTTCTCATTCAATTTTTCTTTCAATTCGGTGCTAATGCAACAACATTTATCATTCCGGCTGAAGTGTTTCCAACACGCTTTCGTGCCACGGCTCACGGTATGTCTGCAGCATGTGGGAAGTCAGGCGCTATTCTCGCAGCATTTGGTTTTAATGTATTAGTGAATCTTGGAGGTAAAAATGCATTTCTACCACAGACACTGGGCATTTTTGCTGCTATTCAATTTGTTGGCCTTCTAGCTACCATTTTTCTATTGCCAGAATCAAAGGGCCGAGATTTAGATTCTTTTGAAGACAATGAAGCAGAATGGCGTCCAGAAAATCGAACAGATAATGATACCATTACCGAACAAGAAGTCCAATTTTAGGATTTTGCTTGTAATTCAATCAAATAAATTCTAATCAGTTTAACAGCAGCATGATGGTAAAGGTGCCGGTTAGAAAAACAAATCGAATGACATATCCACACCTTCAATCTAACTAATTTGTTTCAGTTGGAGAGAGTTCTTCAGTTCTTCGATCTATTTATTCCACGAACAATAGAACACGAGAGAAAACGAAGACAAAACTATAAAGCATGTATAACAAAAACACAAAAGATAGAGCATTCCTTCCGAGGGGGAACAAGCGGACTTCGGTACTTCCGAAGTACGAAAGTACGAAAAAGTACGAAAAAGTACGAAAAAGTACAAGAAGTACAGAAAAGCACGATGAGAGCTGTATAGGTACATGAATATGCATAGAAGTTTCTTCAAACTTATTTGAAAGAAAAAATCTAACCATAGCTATAAAACATTAAAAACGATTGCTATTATCTTTGTGGCTTGATTGAATGACTCGAAAGAGTCGACCATTTCACAAGCAGGTGTTTTTATCAGTTAATAACCGGCAAGCTAGTGGAGGTGGAGCCATTAGGGCTGGATAGGCTCAAATTAGGATAGATAAAGGCTGAGGTAGACGCGAATCTAACATAGATTTGAGGAGATTAGATTTAGGCAAACTTCAAATAGGCACACCAAAGGCTTGATAGGTTCGACAAAATATAAAAATTTTCTACTAATGCTTATTTTCATAGTTTTTCGACCAATGGCGTACTCTAAGATTTTCAGTCCATATCTCAGCTACTTCTAACTTTTGTTCAATGATATGTTTTTTGAATTTCATTGACATGTAATTAGATTGACGTTGAACTGTTTCTTCTTAGTATAGAACAATTGAATTTCTTTTTCCAATATTCTATTTAAAATAGTTTTTGAATTGTATCCCTGCCACAAAAACTAGGTAAATTGTAGAGGTCAATCGCAGTTTACTCGAAAAATTGCCGGCTAGTAGCTGTAATAGAGCCAGTTAATGAATCAGTAAAATCGTTGGTTTTTGTCGGTTTTCATTACATTACTAAATATTTGAAAGCGTTACTCCTTTCCTGTCGCAATACCAGATAAACAAAATCAGACTTTACCTTTCTTTCACAATAAAGCACAAAGCCCACTAGTTTTCATGAAATTTCATCCTCTAGTGTAATTCTATTAAACAATTCAAATGATAACTAAAAGCGAATCAAGGTTATGAACAGAAATACCATAGGTAAAACTAATAAAAATCTCACTATCAACTTGATGAAGCGCTTTCACTGATTTTATTTAAAAAGATCAAGACAAGAAACTCGTTTTTAGCTACCGAACAGGCCTATTTCTTGTTAGGCTATAATTTCTAATGCTTTTTCAATAACATTTTTCAGTTAATTGGTTATAGTTTCTGTAATTTCGGGTGGAATCATGCATTAGATACTAATCACGTTTATAAACAATCAAAATCTAGCTAGAAAATCGACAACGATCGTCATTGTAAAAAACAAAATACTTTTCAACTGGTTCACATTCATAAATGCAAAATTAGGACTGGAATCAGATTGAAATGAATAAAGCAATTTCTTATACTAATGATGTTTTAATCAATTTTCAAACCATTTTTATCAAAAACAACGTAAAAATTCGAAATTTCATGGATTACGAAATTCACACTGACTATATTCGATTAAGACTTGATAAAAACTAGAGTGTAGCTGGTGCAAACTACGTTAAAACTTTTCATTGGTCATAGAGAAAAGAATTAAAGTCTTATGATAATAATCAAATTTGAATCCTGTATTTTTACATCGACAGACATAATTTTCTCAAAAAAGTGAGCCTACCCTAGATTGGAGTCATTCCGCCGTCTCCGTATCGGTGTGCTCAGGCGCTATTTAAAATAGCTATTAAAAGTGGATATCAGAGCACTAGCGTACTGTGTGATTGAAATTTTTTATCGTGATCACGATTTTTTTAAAGTAAAATTCACGATCACGAATATTTCTATGTGATTATAAGAGGCACGAAAACGTTTTGGTCATTCGATTGCAATATTTCCCCAACGTATTTCATTCGGTACATTCAATGTTAGTAGAAATTAACAGTCACAATCGATAGCTTTCATTTGTATTCTAGTGGAAATTCTTTGAAAACATAATAAATTTTAATAAATATTTGAGATTTTGAAACTATATGTTAAATTCGTGATCATAAAATCTTAATGTCGTTCACGATAACGATCACGAATTTTTTTTCTCAATCACGACTACGAACACGATCACGAGCAAAGGACATTTCTTAGTCACGGGCACGATAGCGCAGTACAATATATAGCAATAGTACTACCATAAAGTAAAAGTGAAAAAATTAATTCGATACATTTTTGAAGTACCAAGAAGTACTGAAAAGTACGAAGAAGTACAGAGGTCTGCTTGTTCTCGCTTGATTCCTTCTCTCGAAACATCTATGTCTGCATACTGAGATACCGACGATATTTCTCTTAGCTTGCGAGTGATGCATAAAAAACGAGAGAAGTAAAGCGTGCTACAGAAAGGTAAAAAAAGTAGCAAAAGTAAGACATAAAAAAGAAGTGGCATATTCTCAGGTTGTGTTTTGTTTCTTTGTAATAACCAACATTCGAGATTTCCTCTAAAACAGTCTTCAACAATTTAACTTAAACAATATAGTCATAATAATTTGCCATCTTCCACGTTAAGTCCTAGTACTAGTTGAATGTATTGCCATATTATTTAGTTCCATCCATTTCATCAACGTTTTCCAATTTTGTTCCTCAATTCAGTCGAGCATGCAAAGCTGGCCAATGGTAGGAGAAATGGAAGCAGCCAGAGCAAGTAATACAAGTAGATAATCTGTACGTCAGTGGCAAAGTTGGACATATTACTGAACAACTGAATAAGTATCACGAGATCATACGGTACTTGATATGCGGAATATACGTTCGAAATGATTAATAGTTGAACAATCCTTTTGCGATATTTGTGCCATTGTGCACCTTACTGTTGTTGCTGGCCAACCAGTTGTCGAAAAACTGCTCGCAACACAAGACTGGTGTCGAGTAAAATGGCGCAAACTTGTGGGATCCAAGTATGGGCAAAGAGATCATAGTATGATATGTTTACATAAGTAATGTAGCATGGATAACCACACAGAAGCTCCTTGAAATCAAACTGCTGCTCACATGGAAAAATAAAAATGGCGACAGCATAGAAGAGAAAGGGATAGACAACGCTTGCTATTGGTGGCAAATAGTGAAAATATAAATGTTGCTTGGTTGTAGTAAAAAGATGGGCGTGGAATATGAGTAGATGACGTTTCATTGATGCCCAAAGCATCAGAACATTGATACAACCATTGAATGTCAAATCACACCATATTCAAATGTCACAATTCAGATCGGTCTGCGGTGTTACTATGCCAATACGTAAATAATGTATAATATAAGATTTGTCACCAAACTGGCAATGAGTAAGCCCAAAAGAGCATGATAATGAAGAGTTTGTCGTAGATTTTGATCGGCGATGAGAAAATAGACGAGAGCACAGCTACAGATTAGTGCAGCTGGTGCAAGAGCAACAAAAAGGCCGAATTTGATATTTCGTGTCCACTGAGTTTCAAACACGAGCAAAGTTTCTGTTGAATTGTTCTCTGCCGAAATCATATTGTCTACAAAAAGAAGTCAAATGTCACTTTGTGAAAAGCTCAGTTCGCCTTAAATACGACACAAACAGAAAATATGTTGGTAAAAATGCACGCAATCATATAGTAAATAATGCACACACTCAATTATTTTACACTCAAAGATTTTTTCAAATACAATGTCCTCTAGTATAAAATCTTTATTGTCACATGCTTTTCTCATCCTCTATGTGTCATTCACAGTTTGATTTTGAAATGCTCAAGAAATCATAAGAAGATGACTAGCAGAATAATATAAATAAGTTGTTTATCGTCGTTTCCTAAAAATAGTTATTTATTTTGTTTATCTTTACAAATATCACTAATCATTTGGCTCACATGACCGTAACTTACTAAAGCGATTGATGAAAAATATTAGATACATGCATTCAGGTGCATGTGTTATAATTTTATGATGATAATCTTGAGAGTGTAGGTAAATCAATTCAGAAAAAAATCAGCCTATCTTATAACGAAAAGAATGTTTAAATAACTGCAGAGCTTTATTTCGATGATGCGTTTCGTGCTAGTGATTGAAATATTAAAATACTCTTCACAGGCTAGAGGTGTCAGCCGTACGGCTGAGCCGCCGCAGCAGCCGATTTTTCAATAATATCAGCCGCCGCAGCCACTAAATTACTGGCAATTTTAAGAATTTTGGGGGAGCCGCCGCTGCGAAAAACAAATTTAAGAATTTGTAGCAGCCGCCGCTGAAGACATTACTCATTCAAATAACGAGCCGCTGGAAATCTTGAAAAATTGAAAATTGTTGCCCGCCGTCGCCATTCACCCCTTCGGCTGACACCTCTATTCACAGGTATATGTATTATAAGTAAGCGAAACAAAAAAATCAATGAAATAATATAAAAGTAAAAAGTTAGAGAGCACAATTATATTATGTTTTACGATTAGTTCAGTCATCTCAATGTCAAGATATCTTACATTTCTCTCACATTTTTGAATAATATTCTATGTCAAAATATCATGAAAATGATATAGATCGTTTTCTTACGATATCTAGAACATGTACTTCAAAATAGTCTATCTTATCTTTGAAAATTTAAAAGAATTGTCTTCGACAAGATAATATGCTTGAATACCATTCATCGTTTCAGCTATCTTTCTGATTATTTAGATCAATAATTTGTTATCATTTTTACCATTTCATTGCTGGCAACATGTGAATGGTCATAAATATCATTCAAGTCACGAAGACACTGATCTCAACGGCCATACCTGCAGCCATTTGTAATATGACTGTGGTTATTTATACCACGTATTACAGATTAATAGACTGACACAGATGAAATTTATTTTGTTAGACACTATCTCTTCAGTCTAGGGAAAAAATAAATCATTACAATTTAATTTATAATTCGTTTCACCAGTTACAAATCCGTAAATAAATAGCAAATCCCTTCTGTTCGAATAATGAAAGAAGAGAACAAGAAATTGTGATTTAGATCGCATAATAAGGTTAGATTAGTTGAAAGATACACTGAAGTCTTACCGATATCTTGTTTGATGATCATGATTAATCGGCGCAAGAAGAATATCATTTGGATTATGTAAAGTAACGTGAAAGAGCAAGATCAGCAAATATTTGTTCTTCTTCAAACGATCGGATCAACGTAACAATTGTGTTATTGATATTGATCAAACTTCAGCATCATGGATACCTTTTTTTTCACTATTTATTTGCGAGTAATCAATATAACACTAAGTCATTACGTGCATCAGATGTCTTGGGTACTGTTTTTCTCAATTACTTTTATTACTAAAGTACATACCATTGATTTATATTCTCCATGGATAATCTCCGCTGGTCCAACCTTCAATGCCTACAAGTACAACGTCCTTCAACATCTTACCAGCATTTCACCTTATTTTGAATCTATCTCTGACGGACTAAACCCTGATCCTCCTCAAGGTTGCAAAGTCAATAAAGCTGTCTATCTCGTGCGCCATGGTTCCATTTACGTAAACGACAATGATTACTTCTTGACTATTGAACCATTTTTGCAACGTCTCAAGAACTCGTCTTATTACGTTGACTTTTCCAATTCGACAGAGTTAGCTTTCTTAACTCACTGGACCTCATACATATTGAACAGCAAAGAACAAATAGAAAAGCTTGCCAAACTCGGGTTTGTCGAATCATTTAATTTTGGTGCTCGCCTCGCACATCGATATCCACATTTATTACCTGTAAAAAAGGATGCGTCTTTCAAAGTCTGGGGATCAAGTGCGAATAGAACATTGCGCAGTGCCGAGGCTCTCTTTGCTGGACTTTATGCTGGCCATGAAACGATCGGTAATGTAGTTAGTATATTAGAAGGCAGAGATCAAGGAGCCAATACACTGACACCGAGGAGAACCTGTCCAATATTTAATACTTCACATGCTTTTAAACTATCTGATGAATGGCTAAAATATTACACAGTACCAATTATAGCGCGACTGAACGCTAAAGGATCGGGATTTCAATTTACACCAAAAGATGTGTTAGCGATGCAAGAACTGTGTGGATATGAAACGATCATTCGAGGTTCATCAGCATTCTGTGAAATTTTTACTTCCGAAGAATGGTTATCTTTTGAATACTATGAAGATATCAAGTACTACTATGAGCTGGGTTACGGAAATACTAAATCAGTTAGCCTCGGTATGCCTTGGGTCGTTGCAACAGGAAATCTTCTTAATCAAACAGATGTCAATGATCAACATCTATATATTAGCATCGTTCATCGACAAATGCCACCCTTTGTTGTGACAGCATTGGGTTTATACAATGATTCTGAGTACACTAGCCCAACAAATATAAATCATACGCTTCCACTCAACGAAATTAATAATCGACGAGCATGGAAAACGAGCCGTTTCTTGACATTTATGGGCAACATTGCATTGGAACGACTTGATTGTGCATCTGCTGCGTACACTGGATCATTTGTGAGAGTTCTTGTGAATTCAGCACCAGAGCCTCTACCAGGATGTAGAAGTGGTCCGAGTTTTAGTTGTCCCTTAAAACAGTACATGGATTATGTCAAGCGCCGCAGTGACTCATACGAAGCTTTTACGAAAGCTTGCGGATTAGAAAACAGAAATGCTGCTGAAACGTTGAGTTTTTTTGTGAACGAAAAAGTTGTTTAGATATTTCTGGATAGCGTCAATACATAATGCTTGGATGCGTATGAATGCTGAATAGTGAACATGTTAAATATCGGCAGCATGATATATATTCATACCCTCATAAATTAGAAATTCAACAAAGTCAAGTGGAATTTGATGTTTGGAACACCCACAAATGGACTTTGTGTGGCATTCTTTGTAACATCATCAATGGAGCTGCATTTCACAGTGTTTCTAGCCCTCTCATTATAGAATGCCGTGAATTCTGATGCATTTCTGGATGGTGGGTACCACTGTTTTTTGTCTTGTTTCGACATCTGATGTGTAATTCTAGATTAATCATATGCTATTGAATAGAAAACTACCCTTTATCTCCTGTTTGGAATTTACACCGACATTACTCGTTCTGTTCGTATCGTTAGATATTTTAATAATAGTCGGATAAAGATTAATCATATATTTGTACAAAAGATTTGCATTTTTCAACTCAATTGATATCAACGATTGAGTATACTTTTAGTTTGATCGACACAAAAATCTTCGATTCATATGTAATCTGAATTATTGAGTTGTATTTATCTCATTTGCGAGTAAATATAATTAATGTGCATGATATTCTAGTCAACCAATCATTAGATCTATATAGCAAAAGATTGTTAGAGACGAATAAGTCGCTTCTATTTGATGATTTTATTCAAAAGGATAAGGAACCGAACGACAAACAGAGCAAATAGGAAGGCTATTCACAAAATAGAGATAATTCCATGAGTAGGACAAGTATCGTTGACAAAACACCTTTGTACTTCTGTTATGTTCATTCCTTGGTACCAACCACCGCATTAAGAGGAGCTACTGGAGTTTCAGAAATTGTGAATTGATCTCCTGACAGCCAGCCTTGATTTTCTGCATCAGCTTTCTTGCGTGGATCATCCGCTGGAGTTTCAATACCAGCAATTCTCGCTTCGGCGATATCAGCTGCTAGGATCATCTTGCTTACTGGTTCTAATTAGAAAGAAAATAGTTTAAAAATCTGAAGTAAACAAACAAAGAAATGAAACCTGTATTTGATGAACTCATATTATATTTCTTCGTATTAATAGAACAGGCGCGATTGACTATCGAGAATAGAATGATTATCGGTGATTTTCTTGTCGTAATTCCTTTTTGTTTTCTTGTGACTTGGTATTCTTCTAGTATATATATATAATACCCGAAGATTATTATTGACTATATTTAGTACGACTCGTAATACACGTCATAAATGTGATCTTATACAGATTATCTCACCAGCAGTGCACATATGGAACACCTAAAAGACAAAAAAGAAAGGGAATTTTCTTTCCTATGCATCGATGATATTAGTAGAGAAGCAATAGTCACGTTTCCATTGCAACCTCGAATTACGCAGAAGACGTCATACTATGAAAAACAAATATCACTCATTAATGAGAGCATCTAGATCACTATTTCCATCCAATCAGATGTACAATCACTGAATTTAACCCTGTAAAACTTCAGAAATACTAAGAGATATTACATTTAAAAAATGAACACGATATTATACATAAAAGTATGAATGATAACTTGTTAGTCAAAAAAAATGTAGAATACGAATGATTTTGATAATGTGGTTCATATACTGAGTTATGCGTATAACGAACAGTATGTGGTCTGTATATGAACATAGATGTTGAATTTGTGAAGTAGCCTGTTTTTAACTGACAGATACTGAAATAACCGTTACATTGCATGTATCCTAAGATATTGTCCAAGTTTATTTTTAAATCTTAGAACAAGCTTGCACAATTCTAAATACATAAGAACCATTCATGATTTACTTTTTTTTTGTTTCAATTATTTGAACTTGACGACTGTATTATTCATTCTATTTACATGTTCATTGTTTTATGATACGTTATAAATTAGCCAATCTACTGATAAAATAAGATAATATTGTTTTTTTTTCTTTCTTAATTGATATTCATAGACAATCAAATTCACCCTAGGAAAAAAACGTGTATGGTCAAAGTTTAAAAATAGTTTTTCTTCTGCATGTGACTTCCCATGTAAAACAAAATTAGGGCAATAATCAGATAATGTAAGTCTGATTTGATTAATTGTTATTTAACAAAAAACTTCTAAATTATTCATGAAAACGATTTAAAACATAACAGAGTATAGAGTTGTGCTGAAATTGCGTCGAAAGATCGTGATATCGATATATAAGATAACCTATTCCATCACTCCTATCGCCATTAAATATAAATATTTCTTTATATCATTCCGGCGGGCTCAAAAAAGGTCAATTTTTGTATTCCGCACTTCATTTTCTCTGTTTTAATTCTCGCATTCCAGAATTCTTGAGAGAAACTGATTAACTTGGGCGGTAATAGGAAAATCTGTAGAAATTTAATTTACCTGTCTTTCTAGCTGGCCTCATTCATACGTTGACAGATACTTGAGAAAGACTAGTCAGGTTGTAGAAGAGTTATTGATCATTGTAGTTAGGCTATGAGCAAAGAGATGATGCATCAGATTTAAATATCTAGAAATATCAGTTGACTTGATCTGAAGGATTTAGAAAAAATCGATTAATGTTACAAATTTAATATAAAGCGAGATTTTTATGGTTGATTAAATCATTTTGTTTTCTTTATTATTCTTAATGCTTTTTAGCTGTAAAATATGAGATGTTTCCTTAGCAATAAAATGAAGAAAGAATTCGTTATCGATTTTTATTCTGTTTCAAATGTTTTCGGTTGTTCTTGAAGATCATTTGAATTTTCAAAAGGAACGACAGTAGGATGTGGTAGTTGATGTTCTTCAGCTGTCAGATGAAGCAATGATGCAATCGAATGTTCAATAGACGAAGCTGGTTGTATAAGCAGATCATGGAAAGTAGAAGATGAATGTCGTCGAACAGTAGAAGTCATATGCTCTTGCGCTGCGTGCCATTTATGTAAAATATGTTCAAATTCAGTCAGACCATGTTTAATTCGAGCTTGAAATTTTCGCTTACGTAATGTAAAAGTAATTTGTGAAAAAACAAGAATAATAAAAACCAATATATAAAGTGTAAGAAAAAGAAAATGCGAACGATAGACATGAATAGTAACACAAGCTGTTATAGGTTCTAGAGATTCGTTTTTCTTCAATATTTCATCATATGAATTATTTGATTTTAAATATTCTGAACATATAATAACACAAACATTATATTTGCCAGCAGTTAATTGCCTTAATTCAAGTGAATTTCTCCAAAATGTTAAATTTTGTTGAGGCATCGAATGAGAATTTTTACCGTTATGACGTATAGTAAATTCATAGGTTTGACATTCCCGTTGATTATTGTTTTGCGCTATTTCAAATTGAACATTGGCCGTACGCGAATCATGAATACGAGCACGAAGATAGAATGGACTTAGAACTTCAGTTTCTGTATTATTTGCAAATATTCCAATAGGAACTGACAATAAACAAAGACTAAATAATAGATTCATGATAATTGTGTTATTCTGCCTTGTTATGCTACATCCTTATACATATATACACAAGTAATAAATGCTTTTTTTCTTATGATAATATAACATGCAAGAATGCACATTCTGCTACAATGCTTTTCCTTATTGAGATCAACGCTTTGTTTATTCATACGTTTTCTTGTAATAACATATAAAGAACATAGAATTAAGATAAATACGTCTCTTTTGAAAGTTGACCAAGAATTAATCGTAATTTCGCCGATTGATAGTGAGCTGATAAATCTTTCAGAAGAATACAACGGCTTTTTCGTGACCATCATAACATTAGAAAAAACTCACACCACACTTATTATACAAAATTTTTTTATCGTAGGTCGAACTAATTAAAAGTAATTCACAAAATAGTTAAACTGAACAATCATCGCTGAAGGATGTGGAATTAATCGAGAGCATTCTTTGAGTTTTCTTATAGAGAAGGGAAAACTCAGTTCATATAAAATCATGAGAAATTCTTTTTTGCAAATAGGCAGCAGCATCAAACATCTCATTATCGACTATTTGCATAGATTAATATCAATTTCTATCTCCATCATACAAATTTATTCAATCGACTTTTATGGAAAATTTCACAAAAGAATAACGTGTGACTAAAAAAAGTCAGCTAACCAACATGATGCAGTACCATCGGAATAAGCTGCTTTGATGTTTTCAAGTTTGTCATTCGAAAGACGGATGTTACGTATCATCATATCGCCTTTCTTCTCGATTTTTATCGAGTTAGCAGCCCACTGGTTCAACTCATCGATACCAATATATTGAGGTAGACCATGAAAGCGAATAATATTTGTCTGATGTCGCTGTAAAATCTTTTCAGCTGCGGCTTTCAACACTTTTCGTTCAACATCAATATTTGGTGCTCGCCATTCATACACACAAATATCATCGATATTATTCGGTTTGCTAATTACCACATAGCCTGGCTCGGCGTCATGACAAATGTGCACAATAGCTTCATTGTGTTGCCAATCCCAGCCAGCCCAATGTGTGAACATAGTACCATTTGTTCGACTATACTGATACTTACGCGAAGTGTTTGAATGTATTTTAAATAGTAAATCTCGATCAGTTGATAATACTTCAGCTGCCGAACACCACTTGATATTGTTATTGTCAATAGAATTTAAATCGTTCCATTCGATAGTTACTATCATTGGTATAGATATTTGTTCCCAACCAAGCGCAGAATAATGATTATGCACATCAGTACCCAACATTGATAGATCAAATTCGCTACTTTGTTCCATCTTTTCAATCAATAACCGAAGAAGATGCCGAGAAAAGCCTCGTTTTCGATATTCTTCTGCAGTAGCAACATTGGAAATAAACCCACACAAATATTCGTTATCATCCTCCGACGATTGAATTCTAAGACGTCGAATATGCGCTGTACTCACCAATCTTTCGTTGTGCCAAGCACCTAACGTATCACCTTCTTGATAGTCTGGCGATGCTTCAGCAGTGTAAGAACGTTCGAAATCATCTGGATTACAGGGGAAAATTGAATATAATAAATCGAGGACTTGCTTTTGCTCATGTTTTTTAATAGAACGATAAACAACCGACGACGTATCTACATCCCTGTTTAATGTCATATTTTGATACTCTAATTAAAAAAAAAGCTATAGAAGACATACAATAGGAACGATAGAAATAAGAGTCACTGACTATCGAAACACGTTATTTATATCGATACCATGGAATTTCGCAATCTGAATTTAGTCGATGCCGAAGTTCAGATTGCGAAATTCCGACTGTCGTTCTTTCACTTAGTCTCTCGGTTTGCAAAGTATTTTTCATTCCTTTTCTACCGCATGGCTTTTTCTCTGATGTCACAGGCAAACACGGGTGAGCTATCTGGTATTGAGGGAAAGCTGACATATAAACCGATGCAAATTCAAAAGATAACTATCTATTTCTCTCACCTGCCAATTCCATTTTCTACTAACTCGTATAATTATGAAAAGAAATCGAACGGCTCTCTTCACATTTTAAATTAAATTTCGTTTCCTTTACTAATAATATATATAAAATGTGTTAGGAAACCCATTGTCAATCATATGAACCAGCTACCATGTGAGTAACGTGGGAGTGCGAGTCAAGAAAAGTAACAATGTTTCACCGGCGTGCATTTTTTTTCTTTTTCTAGTCGGAGTCGTTCTTCCTTTTTTTTAAATTATTTTTCAGAAGAACGCAAGAGCAAAAAAAGCACACTCAACGCGTGCATATCAACATTTGCTTAGCGTGGCACTCACATACAAGTATAATTTACCATGTTTAAACAAATGCACACGACTAAAGATACTACTAAATAATAGAATCCGATGTTGTCTGAGATAATTCTTTGAATCGATATCTCTATTTGATTGGTGGAGGCAAAAAAACGAAGCGACCTTATTCGAGCGATTCCTGATTCGAGCTCAAATAATAACAAACTGTTTTAAATAAGGACTACTATCACTTGTATTGTGTAAACACATAACAACGAATTTAAAAGTATAAAGAAAATTAGAACAATGGAGAGAATCGAGACCAATAGATATCGCAGTAGTCTATTATAACAAGTTCAAAATAAGTACAAATGTTGATTATTCTAATTTGTTTTCATCTTGTTTGTATTCAGCAAGAAATAACAGTATTGATGCATCGCAGATCTGAAAAAAATTTGATTGTATTCGAGTTCTATCGTATTAACGTAAAATTTGTTTTAAGTCAATGAAGCTTTGATCGATTTGTGCTCGAAGAAGTTTTCGTTTACGTAATGAAAAATCGATTTGTGATAAAACAAGAATAATAAAAACCAATATATAAAGTGTCAGAATAAGAAAATGCGAACGATACACACGAATAGTGACACAGGCTGTGATCGGTTTTGACAAATGTTTTTTCTTCACTATTTTATCATATGAATTGTTTGCTTTTAAATATTCTGAACATATAATAGCACATATGCGATAATTACCAAACGTTAATTGTTTTAATTCAAGTGAATTCCTCCAAAATGTTAAATTTTGCTGCGGCATTGAATAAGGATTTTTATCTTTATGTCGAACCGTAAATTTATACATTTGACATCCGCGTTGGTCGCCGTCATGTGCTATTTCAAATTGAACATTGACCGTACGCGAATCATGAATACGAGCACGAAGATAAAATGGACTTTCAATTATAGTTTCTTTATTACTTCCAACAATTCGAACAGGAATCGATAATAAAATTATCATAAATAGTAGAATCATAATTGTATGATTATTATTCTTCCTTTACGCTATTGTATAGATAATATTTGGGTCCTATTATATTCATACTAATTCACTGCCTCTACTCTTCAAATCGAGTTAATCTCTGCTCATATCTTTAGTGAAAAAAATACATGGGATAGAGAGTGAAGAGAGCTTGTTTTTCAAATTATTAGTCAGACGTTTAATGAAGTTGTTGATTTTTCGTCATTTTATTGCATAGATTTTTCATAACTATTGAATTCATCTATTGATATTGAACGACGATAAGCTGGATCAATTATAATACTTGAATCAATACCTTTATTTGTATTATACGAGTCAATATCATGCATATCAAATGACATATTAAGCATAGAGAGAGAGAGAGAGAGCATATTTAGTTAATATGACTTCGAACGGTAAACGATTCATGAATCTACTTTAGATCAAATGCTAAAAAGAACGAGCTTAGAGCAAAAGAAATCACTTAGACGAATAACATCCATTAGCTTGAATGTTTATAATTGACTTACGCCAGAGGAAGTAAAAAACAACTTGATTTATTATCGACGACAACAGCTTGAAAGTATTATTAGAATAGTTAATGAATCTACAACTTGATTCATCTGTATTGAATTTGAAATGTTGTTGTTTACATTTATCATCCTAGAATATCCCTGTAAACAATGTCTTGATAAGCTTTAAAGAACTTTTCAAGGACGTATTTCTTACAACTTAGAGTAAGTGTTGATTTTTACGTCTATCCGATGACAAAGCAATGTTCTGTTCTCCAGTTACCGTTCCCATTTTGTACCGATATCGAGAATATCATTATGACATATCATCAGTATACAATCTGCATTGCATACAAATTCATCTATTATGAAACAATTGATGGGAAACGAAAGAGATGGATGTCATAAAAATGTCTGTTGTGTTCTCGCTTTTCTATTTCTTACTAATGACCCATGTATTGCATGGATCGCTTTCGTATGATCATCATCTGATGATAAATGGTAATAATAAAAAATACTGTTTTTTCTCTTCTAATTTATTATTGAAAGAAGACTGACAATTGTTTTTCCTACCGCACATTCTGTCAATGATCCTATATATTGATAAAAACAATTTGTTTGGTGAAACAGCGACATTTTAAGATTATGTGGACGAATATCCAATTAAAAAATTTACAATATGCATATGTGAATCAAATCAATTCGCTGGCACATCTGCATTCTTTTTCTTTTCTATTTCCAGGGATCAAACTGTTGTTCTGTAAAGTGACAATCAGTCTACCGGAATCTGACTAATGTATGATTTGTTTTTCCTATTGAGAAATATACATTTGATTATTGTTTTCATGAAAAAACTTTTTGTATTTTAATCAGTATCAATATTTTTGAGTCTGTTATACGGAAATGTTGTGAACGTTAGGGTTCGCGATAAACTAGATTTTCATAGATGAGCTAATAGTGAAAAAGTAAAAGACATTGGAAGTTCTTAAATTACTTAGAACGATGTGGTCTGCAAGGCGATTGAGAGTTTCTTTTATAGTGTTAGTTACTTATTTCAAGCAGTCATATTTGTCTTGACTTTATGCAAAACGAGAAACTCGTCGACGATATAAACCGGCGAATACACGGTGGTAACAATTATACTAAAAAATATTTAAAGAATTTTATAATATTGAAGTGAGAGAAAACGACTTAACTGCAAAAATATCAACATATAATCTGCATCCTCATTTCATGATGAAAATGTGCTTGTGCCGAAACGACCATTCAATTGTGCACGAGTGCATTGGCACATCCCTTGTTTGTTTGGTTGACATTCTCAAGTTGTGTGGCTTGTCAACAAGATGGAAAATCGTTTTTTTTTTGTTCTTCTTTCTTTTATTCTGGTCGAAAGCTTATCAATCGGAAACATCATTAGTCTTAAGCGGCAAAGAAGGACAATTGATACATTGTTGCTTATTGATACTACGACTAATCGAGCAGAGCAACGACATCTGGTCATATTATACCGCAAAGGCGCTTGCAAGGTCATCAAAACGACGCGTAAAATTACTCGTCGTACAGGCTAGCAGATACAAATAGAATAGATGGAAATAAATCCGAATAGATAAATCTCCTTTTTTGGTAATCGTTTTTTTATATTGTTTATTCCAATGCAAAGGGCTATATAAGCCATTGTCAACGAATGAAATAAGCACTTAGTAGAGAGAAATCGGGGTACATACGATCATCTATATTGAAGGCAACAAGGCATCTCTGCTATACAAATTACATCTGTTTCAACAGATCATCATATCTATATTTTTTTTGAATATTAACCAAGAAGACAACAATCATGTCGGCCGAAGCGTATGAATAAATTTTTAAATTCTATTGAGAGAAATTTATATTGTTCCTTCTCTTTTAAGAATGTGTTACGATGCCAACGATCCAGAGTTGAAAGAAGCTTTGAGATATTTAGTTTTACCAACAGAAGAGAAATTGAAACTTCGTTCTCAACCGTTCGATGCTAAGAAAGCATGTTGGATACCTGATCCAAAGGAATCTTTTGTTGCTGGTGACATCGTCGAAGTCAAAGGCGATCAAGTAGTAGTGAAAACAGCTAAAGGAGAGGTTCGTATTTTCTTTTCAAATATGTTCATTAACCATTCTAACTTTTATTTTTTTTACTTTGTTTTTCTTACGAAGAATGTTACATTGAAAGCAGACCTTGTGCAACAAATGAATCCGCCAAAATATTGTTGTTATGATGATATGGCTGATTTGACTTATTTGAATGATGCCTCAGTCTTGGCCAATTTACGTGACCGATACTCGCGATGGCTCATTTATGTATGTCTATTTTCTTGTTTTTCTTTGGTAATATCCTAAAATTTTATTTTTCTAGACCTATTCGGGTCTATTTTGCGTTGTCATCAATCCATACAAACGTCTACCCATTTATACCATGAAGGTAGTGTTAATGTATCGTGGCAAAAAACGTACTGAAGTAACACCACATTTGTACGCCATTTCTGACAATGCCTATTCTAACATGCTTCGCGGTAAGTTAAACATATCAGAATTTTATTTTTCGCGTATTATTACAAATGACTTCGAAACAATATATTAGATCCCATCATGACAGAAAAGATTTATGTAGTTTCATCAATTATGATATTCTCCTTCGTCGATGAGAAGAGTATAGGACGTCCAAAAAGATATAGAGAAATCGGAATGTCGTGACAATTTTTCTGTATGATCTAAGTAAACTAACCACAAAGGTTTCAAATTCATAGCTTATTGGACGCTCCGTTGAATAATCTCATTTATGTATCAATCAAGAGTAACAATAACAAAATGTACTACAAATCGATAGAATAATGCCATATGCGGTTTTTGTCCACATGTAGTCAATTGAAATAATTAATGATAAACACAGCTGCTTATTTAGATAGAGATCGGGCAAGCGAAGTTAATTATTTTCCAGGGATTCCCAGACAAAGTTAGATGCCAAATACGATAACAATATGTTTAATATAGTTCGAGGCTGAAGTATCATTTAGCGAACTCGACTTTGACTTTTCCTATTTATGAAATGGGCGTGCCTCCAGCTGACAGACTGACGTCAAGCTTAACCCTCATGGTTCCGAAACAAACAAATTCTTTGAGAACAATACCTATGCTTATTTTGTTTACCATTGTATCGGTATAACAATTATGTACAATATTGACCTGCACATGTCATTTTATTTAGATCGTGAAAATCAATCCATGTTGATTACCGGTGAATCAGGTGCTGGAAAAACAGAAAACACCAAGAAGGTCATTCAATACTTTGCTTTGGTCGCTGCTGTCGGCACAAAGAAGGAAGAGGGCGCGGCGGTAACTAATCATTTATTTCATTTTTATTTCATTTCAACATTGTATTCCAAATAGAAAACAATGACACTCGAAGATCAAATTGTGTCTTGCAGTAAGAAAATATTTAAAAAACATTTGTAAACTTATTCCTATACATGCACATTTTTTGTTAAAATTAGATCCCGTACTCGAAGCTTATGGTAACGCAAAAACTACTCGAAACAACAACTCTTCTCGTTTCGTAAGTATCTGATTAAACGAAAAGAAATTCCATATTGTTTTCTTGATGCAATCTTCTTATATTTGTTAATGTTTTTTGCCCGTAAGATCACTATTCTCTCTCGTTCACTAGAAGAAAGACATGAAAGGCGGATACTATGTTTTTTGTTATTGTAAAAGACCATTTATTCAATGTATTGCATAATCGTAGAAATTTATCTAAGGAAAAAAAGATTTGTCATTGGCAAGAATCTTTTCCTCTTAGAGATAAAATTCGCTGAAACATTGCAAAAAGAGAAAAATGGATATTTTTCGTTTGAAGAAACTGACTGTACAATATATAATCTCTCTTCAGCTGATTATTGCTGATAATCATTCACGCCTTTTCTTCACCAATTTCACAATACCAACTTGACTCCAAGTACTGATTCTTCTGATTCGTAAGTAATCGAAGCTCATGTAAATTGCGTAGGTAGTGGTTGCATGCATATTGTCTCTCTAATTCATATTAGTTATATGTATTTTAATTCACTATCTGATTGTGCTGGTGAAACATAAATGTTTGATTTGCATGCGTTCAAATTTTGTTAGAATCATGCTTCAACGTCTCTCTCTCTCTCTCTTCCTTCCTAGGGTAAATTTATTCGAATTCACTTTGGTCCAACGGGTAAAATTGCTGGTGCCGATATTGAAGTATATTTACTTGAAAAATCTCGTGTCATCTTTCAGGTATAATTTCTTGCCATCAAAAGAATTTTTTCTATTTAATCAATTGTGTTATTTATTTCTATTCTAGCAACCAGGTAGATTTGTTTCTAGTGTTTTTTATCGGCTTATTTATGATATTTCTCATTGTAGCTGAACGTAATTACCACATTTTTTATCAAATGTGTTCGAATGCCTTCCCCGATATGCACGGTAAGTTTCGATAGTACGAATTTGAAGATTCTATTTAATTGTTAATCTATTTGTAGGCGAGTGTCTCATTGGTAATGACGCTTCGAAATATTTCTACGTTGCTCAAGGCATGTTAACCATCGACGGTATTGATGATACTGAAGAAATGAAATTGACCGATGACTCTATGGATGTTCTCGGTTTCAGCAAGGTTTGTATTTTCTATTGGTAGAGAACCTCTGAAAAAAATCACGCTTCTATTCAAAATCATAGGATGAAAAGAAAAACTTGTACAAATGTACAGCAGCTATTATGCACTTTGGTAATGGTCAATGGAAACAGCGACCTCGTGAAGAACAAGCTGAACCCGATGGCACTGAAGATGTTGAAAAGGTGGCCCATTTACTTGGTGTTGAAGCAGCTGATCTTCTTAAAGGTTTACTCAAGCCACGTATTAAGGTTTGAACACGCTTTACTTGGTCATTCAATAACGATTTCTTGCATTTATCTAGGTCGGTAATGAATATGTTAACAAAGGTCAAAATAAAGATCAAGTTGTCAACTCGATCGGTGCTCTTTCGAAATCGGTACGTGAAAATCTGCTATATCTATATAATAGTAATCAGAGTAATATAACGAAATTTTTGTTTCGTGATCTATTCATCTGTTTCGAAATCTAAAAAAGACTATTTCGAATGTGATAGATGAAGAATATTGTTTTTAATTTTTGTTCTCTGGATTAATATAATGCTAATTCTTTGCTTTTTTCGTGTTGACTATATTTCTTCTTTATTAGATCTACTTTCGCATGTTTTGCTGGTTAGTCGAACGTGCCAATATGACACTCGATGTCAAAGCTAAACGTCAATATTTTATTGGTGTACTTGATATTGCTGGGTTTGAAATTTTCGACGTAAGTAATTTTTTGTTTGAAATCATGGGTGAAAAATTGTGAATACTCGTTTAGTTCAATGGATTCGAACAATTGTGTATTAATTACACAAACGAACGTCTTCAACAATTCTTCAATCATCACATGTTCGTCTTGGAACAAGAAGAATACAAGAAGGAACAAATTGATTGGGTGTTCGTCGATTTCGGTATGGATTTACAAGCTTGTCTTGAACTGATCGAAAAGGTTAGTTAATTGCATTCTCTCCGATGTTTTCTATATCAATATCTTATCTTTGAATATTAGCCAATGGGTATTCTTTCGATTCTTGAAGAAGAATGTATCGTACCAAAGGCATCAGACAAGACGTTTGTTGAAAAACTTTACAATAATCACTTGGGTAAACATTCTCAATTCGGCAAACCCAAACCTGCCAAAGGAAAAGCAGAAGCTCACTTCGAAATTCATCATTATGCAGGCTCTGTTGCCTATACGGCCACATCATGGCTTGAAAAGAACAAGGATCCCATTAATACCACTGTGTATGTATACTCGTTTGTTGTTGATCTTCGTCTTTAGAAAATGTTGATCTTATTCTAGTGCTCAACTCTTCGCCAAATCGAAGAATGTTTTGTTGAGTCATCTCTTTGCCGATGCTCTCGAAGAGGAAGGAGGCAAAGGTGGCGGTGGTAAGAAGAAAGGAGGAGGCAGTATGCAAACAATCTCGGCTACTCATCGAGTAAGTTTCTAACATTCTTTTTTGACAATCAGTTTAACAATTATGAATGACTTTCTTAGGAACAATTGAACAAATTGATGGTCAATTTGAAACAAACGCATCCTCACTTTGTCCGATGTATTATCCCGAATGAAATCAAGACCGGTGGTGTTCTTGATTCACATTTAGTTATGCATCAATTGACATGTAACGGTGTATTAGAAGGCATTCGTATCTGTCGTAAAGGCTTTCCTAATCGTATGATCTATTCGGAGTTCAAACAACGTTACTCCATTTTGGCCCCCAATGCAATTCCAAAGGGTTTCGTTGATGCCAAGAAAGCAACAGAGAATATTCTCAAAGACAAAGATGTTATGTTAGCTGAAGACTTGTACCGTTGTGGAGTCACAAAAGTCTTCTTCAGAGCTGGAACACTCGGTCTTCTAGAAGATTTACGTGATCAAGCCTTGTCAAAGATCATTGCTGCTTTACAAGGTCAAGTTCGTGGTTATATCATGAAAAAACAATTCAAACATATGTTGGAACAACGTTTGGCTTTGTCCGTTGTTCAACGCAATCTTCGTAAATATTTATCATTACGTAACTGGCCTTGGTGGAAACTCTATACCAAAGTCAAACCTTTATTATCCGTGGCTCGACAAGAAGAAGATATGAAGAAACTCGAAGAAGAATCCAAAGCACTTAAAGAAGCTTTGGAAAAGGAAGAGAAATTACGCAAAGAAATGGAAGATAGTATTAATAAATTAAATAGAGGTAAAACAAAGAGCAAAAGAAGGAAATCTTGTATTTGATATTTAAACCGGTGATATTTTTCTTTAGAGAAAAAAGAACTTTATGATCAATTGGAAACAGAACGAAATGGTTCATCAGGAATGGAAGAACATCTTACACGATTGTGTATGTAAAAATATTCAAAGTGAAATTGATAACATCCATCTTTTTTTTCTTCTCAACAGTGACTGACAAAGCCGATCTTGAACAACAAATCAAAGAGATGGAAGAACGTTTCGGTGAAGAATCACAAGCATCGCAAGATTTGAGCAATAAGAAGAAAAAATTGGAACATGAAATGGATGGATTGAAGAAAGATATTGATGACATGCGATTGAATTTACATAAAGCCGAGAATGAATGCAAAACACGTGATACTCAAATTCATACTCTACAAGACGAAATTGCCCATCAAGATGAATCCATTGCTAAAGTAACGCGAGAACGTAAACGTTTAGAAGAACAAAATGCCAAGACCACTGAACAATTACAAGCTGAAGAAGACAAAGTCAATCATTTGAATAAATTGAAAACAAAACTCGAACAAACACTCGACGAACTTGAAGGTGGTTTGGAACGCGAGAAGAAAGGTCGTGCTGATCTCGATAAATCTAAACGAAAACTAGAAGTCGACTTGAAAACATCACAAGGAAACCTCGAAGAACTCGACCGAGCACGACGTGAACTTGAAGAGAATCTCAAACGTAAAGATCAAGAAATTCAACAGATGAGTACTCGCCTAGAAGATGAACAAGGTCAAGCAGCTGGTCTTGGCAAAAAGATAAAAGAATTACAACATCGTATTGAAGAAATGGAAGAAGAACTCGAAAGTGAACGTCAAACACGTGTAAAGACAGAAAAACAACGAGCAGATTTGGCACGTGAAATCGATGAGATGGGCGATCGATTGGAAGAAGCCGGAGGAGCAACAACCAGTCAAGTTGAAATGAACAAGAAACGAGAAGCAGAACTGGCTAAACTTCGTCGTGATTTGGAAGAAGCCAATTTACAACATGAAGCCACTGCTGCTCAACTACGCAAGAAACATCAAGATGCTGTGACTGGTAAGTTTGATCGATATGATAGATAATGGTACAGAAACGATTACTCATGTCTATCACATTTTAGAAATGGGTGAGCAAATTGATCAACTTCAAAAATTGAAAAATAAATTGGAGAAAGATAAACAAACAGCTAAATCAGCTTTCGATGATTTACATTCACAACTCGAACATCTTCAAAAAGGCAAAGCAACAGCCGAGAAACTGTCCAAACAAATGGAACAACAATTAGGTGAAATGCAAGCCAAGATTGATGATCATGCCAGACAAATCAATGAACTTCATCAAAAGAAATCAAAATTAACCAGTGATAATTGTGAATTAGTCAAACAATTCGAAGATATCCAAATTCAGATCATTTCAATAACCAAGATCAAAATTACTTTACAAACACAACTTGATGAAACTAAACGAATACTCGAAGACGAATTGAGAAGCAAGGGACCAATGAGTAAGTTTCGGATAATATTTCTTTTACTTCTCAATAATTAACTAATTTCTTTGTTTAGGTTCCCAATTACGTAACTTAGCTGCTGATCTTGAACAAGCACGAGAGCAACTCGACGAAGAACAACAAAGCAGAGCTGAATTTCAAAAATTAGTCATCAAACTTACTTCAGAAGTTCAACAATGGAAATCACGCTATGAATCCGAAGGTCTAATTGATATAAATTTCATATCTCACTTTTGTATTCTATGCATATCGTTATTCTACAGGCATAGCCCGCGGAGAAGAACTCGACGAAGCCAAACGTAAATTGGCATCGAAATTGTCTGAAGCAGAAGAACAAGTCGAAGCAGCCATATCCAAATGTAATGCATTAGAAAAAGTGAAAATTCGTCTTCAAGGCGAAGTTGAAGATCTTATGGTTGATGTAGAACGTGCCAACTCTAGTGAGTTCATATTTAATTACAGAAGCAACGCATAGTGGGTGTCGTTCTCTCTTTAGATGCATCATCCATGGATAAGAAACAGAAACAATTCGACAAATTAATCAACGAATGGAAACAGAAATGTGAAGATATCAGTATTGAACTTGAAAATTCACAAAGGGAATCACGATCATTCTCAACTGAATTGTTTAAAATCAGAGTTCAATATGAAGAATCATATGAACAAATTGATGCTTTACGCAAAGAAAACAAGAACTTGGCTGAAGAAGTCAAGGTACATAATTGCTTATTTTTTGACGTTGATTGGAAATTATTTCTCTTTGTTGTTCTGTTCAGGATCTTAGCAGCCAATTGACCGATGGCAGCAAAGAGTAAGTGTTGAATTTACAGAAATATCTTTAAATTTAACTAAAATATCTTTTGTTATTTTATTATTCAAGTGTTCACGAAATTCAAAAAGCTCGTAAACATGCTGAGTTGGAAAAAGAAGAAATGCAAACTGCTTTGGAAGGAGCCGAATCAGCTCTTCAACAAGAAGAAGCTAAAGTATTACGTGTTCAATTGGAATTGAGTGTCGTCCGACAAGAAATTGAACGACGCGTTCACGAGAAAGAAGAAGAATTCGAAAACACTCGTCGAAATCATGCACGTGCTCTCGATTCCATGAGTGCCAGCTTAGAAAGCGAAACCCGTGCAAAAATTGAAGCATTGAAACAGAAGAAGAAACTCGAATCAGACATCCACGAACTTGAAGTTGCTCTTGATCATTCAAATCGTAGTAACACCGACTTACAGAAATCATTCAAACGATTACAAGTGAATATTTCCGAGTTACAAATACAATTCGAAGAACTACAGCAACAACGTGATGGAGCTAATGAACTTGCTTTGGCAGCTGAACGTCGTGCCAGTGGTATGATTGCTGAATTAGAAGAATTACGATCAGCTTTGGAACAAGCCGAACGAGCTCGCCGATCAGCTGAGAGTGAATTGCACGAAGCTGCTGATCGCATCAGTGAAGTTTGTACAATTAATGCTAACATATCTTCACAAAGACGGCAATTGGAATCAGCAGTTTCGTCCATGGAAGCTGATTTGAATGAAGCTATCAGTGAATTGAAACGTAGCGAAGAAATATCCAGGAAAGCTTGTAAGTAACATTGATAGGTAGAATTCATGACTCATATTGAGATTATTTCAGCTACTGACGCTGCTCGTGTCACCGAAGAACTACGTCTAGAACAAGAACATGCTTCTAGTGTTGAACGATTACGTAAAGGTCTTGAAGTACAAATTAAAAACCTTCAAACTCGTCTCACTGAGGCCGAAAGTAATGCATACAAAGGTGACAAACGTGTCATGGCCAAACTTGAATTACGCGTATGTTGTTAAGTGAATCTCAAACGAAAAAAAGATCTGCTTTTTTTGTCTAGATTCATGAATTAGAGGCTGAAAATGAAGCAGAACAACACAGTCATCAAGAAACACTCAAGGAATTACGTAAAAATGATCGTCGATTGAAAGAAATCGCCTTTCAAGCTGAAAGTGATCGTAAACATCAATTGCATTTACAAGATCTTGTTGAGAAATTACAAAGTAAAATCAAAGTCTACAAACGACAAGTTGAAGAAACTGGTAAGTACTTTTGATATCTACAGCTTGTTGTATAAAACAAAGACTTACTATTGTTCAGAGGAAATTGCTACACTCAATTTGGCTAAATATCGCAAGAGTCAACTTGAACTCGGTAGGTTGAGAAACGATAAATGAAAAAAATGACTATGATAGATATTGTATTACAGAGGAATCGGCTGAACGCACAAATATTGCCGAATCTCAACTTGGAAAGTTTCGCATCAAAACTCGCTCAACTGTCAGTGTTGGTCGCGTCGGTGAATCAGTAAGCAACTTTTTTTTCTTATTCGCAGAATAATCATCTACATCGTTCTTTTCGTTTTCTAGCACGAACACCATGAGTCAACAATTGTTCGATCTGCATCCGCCATCCGTTCAAGCTCAGTTCGTCCACGTTAAAGAACATTCTAGGATCCTTATGTATCTTTGTAGTTCGTTTGCTCATGTTTTTCGATCAGTATGATGTGACCCTTCACGTGTTGCCTTGTCTTTCTCGTTGCACTTTCTGCTAAATATTTTATGAAATAAAGAACGACTATTAGAATTAATATTCCATGTTCGGACAAAAACCTATTTACATTTTGCTATATTGGCTCATTTAAAAAAAACTAAATGCAAAAGAAAACTGAACGGTTAGAATTGGTGTTTTTTAATAATTATCTATTCTTCGATTCTGATTGTATTCATGTTTTATTGTGGCAGAAAAAATCTCTCATGGAGTTTAATTTTAACAATTAAAATTTAAGAATATGTCGTTGTTTTCTCTAACTTCTTCAAACGGTGAAGATACTAGTTTATCACAAATTTTCTTCAGTATTTACTATTTTTACTATGTTTCATAGCGCACTTGTCGTTCTGACTAGTTGAATAATCTTCCATACATATACTATAAACATTGTAAAATTTCAATAGATCAATGCATTTTTGTTTTTAATTCTGCCAACAGTAACTCTATGTTTGAATTTACATTAGCTACTGACAATAAATAATTTCTTTCTCTTTCTCATGTAAGTTTTCGACAAGCATACGTTAATTTACTTAGTTGGAGAAAAATATTCCACGTTACTTTTTCAATGATTTCATGCAACTGCTCAACTTCCTAGCGAAGAAACGCCAATTTAATTTTATCTTGCCACTGAAAAATAGTTTGTCATTGATTCAAACTTTTGAAGTTATGTCGATACTACACATTCTGTTATTTTTCATGTACTGCCTTTCAATCTATAGTGATTATTCATTATATCATACCGATATTCATGAGCTGTCTAATCTAGACTTCGATTGTTTATATGCTTATTTAGTTGATGGTGGCAGAGAAATAGGTGGAAGTTATATTCGTAATTATCATTTAATTCCATACTGTAGACGTCCTGATAATGATAAAGAATTGGAACAAGAATCTCATCTTAACCATGAGAATATAGCGCAACGGATAAGTTTTGATGAATTGAGAAAACGAAATGTCACAAGTGAACAATTACTCGCATGGCTTGCACCAGTTGATGTTGCAGAAAAATATGAAATGAATAATGATAGTTCAGATATTTTTTATCAATGCAAATCACCATGGTTTGGTCCTATGTGTCAATATAAATTCGGTCATAGTGTATCGATATCGTTTAGTGATATTGTTGAAGCTACTTTTAACAATTATTCGGAAATCATTAAAAATGTTACTACAGATTCTTGCTATCGATTCTTAGATAATTGCAACCAAGAATTATGGCCTCGGTGTCTCGATTGGCGGTAAATTTGTGATGGGAAAACTGATTGTTTGAATGGAGAAGACGAACGTTGGTGTGATCAATTAGATATGACTAAATGCAGCGACCATGAATATCAATGTCATTATGGTGGTCAATGTATTCCAGCAGAATTCGCTAAAGACAACAGAATAAGTACTGATTGTCTAGATGGTAGCGATGAGCAAGAGGAAAATTTTCAATTTAGTTGGTTGATCAATCCCCAGTGTACGAATATTCAAACATTTCAATGCCAGGAACGTACTACTCGATATCCTTTCTCGTTCTCATGTGGTGATGGTCAATATTTATCGTCCTTTGATTTGCCTAATCTCATACGTAGCTGTTCGAATTATCGAGATATAGAATTCTCACGCTCAATCCTTACTTCGCTGGATCATATCTCAGACATTGACTGTCGGGATGCATTTCTATGTGCTATGTACTCCAATCGAACAGAAACTACAGGTAAGAAGATATTCAGAGAAGAAAATAATAAAACTGGTGAGCATATGCAAACCACTGTTCTCTTGTATGCAATCGCTCACTTAAAACTAGATACCGAATAATCTCCAATTTTCAGTATTTTTATTCTATTGAAAGCCTCAATTTTGCAAATATTAGAATAAATTTACATGAGACAATCGCACTGAAAGTCTTGATACACATGTCCCTCAGTCTCTACTTGTAAAAACCAAAATTATCCATTTTAGGGCAGCCTAGTCCTGCAGACATAGGACCGTTTGAATCGATTATTGATCATGTTTGGGATGAAGGCTGTCAACCGTTATCTCAGCATTGCATGATGGAATGGATCGTCATACCTGAAAATCCGACAATGTTTGAATTTTTTCAATTCGTTTATTTGACAAATCGATCGACAAGTGAATTTCAAACAAGCCCTGCACCTGATTTTATTTGTTTCGATGCACAACGATGTCCTGCATTATTGGCTACGATCACCTCCATTAATATAGTTAATAGTCTTACATGCTGCCATATTTCTAATCTAATAGAATATGTCGAATATATGGACTTTTATCAATTGCCATCAACGTTCCTGAATTTTGGTCGTAAATGTTTGAAGACAAATGTAGAGAAATCATGTATTAATACATCTTATTTTCACTGTAATGTGTTGGAGATGGAATGGCCGATTGCTTGTACTATGACGATGAATATTTTAATGCGTGTCATTTGAACGACTCAAATCGATTTATTTGCACATCAGATCCAAACAAATGTATATTGCCTGTTGCAATTGGAAATGGAGAGAATGACTGTCATCTAGGAGAAGATGAATTACATACATATACATTCGATCTAGTAAGATTAGTACGGTTTGCAGTTCTATGTAATGGAGTCTATAACTATAAAGCCTCGTCATTGAACTTTCCAGAAACTGATGAAACCAATTGTGAATTGTGGCCATGCAACAATCCATATACCCGTTGTGACGAATTTTGGCATTGTTCAAATGGTATTGACGAGTTAAATTGCCCAAATAGTCTATGCTTGTCAAACGAGTATGTATGTGGTGGCTTCTCTTTCGAAATCTCGTATTGTTTACCTCGTGCTCATTTATTTGATAAATATCTCGATGATTGCAGCAATCCATCAACTTCTCGTCAGGTTATTTTCTATAATGGAACGAAGGATATCAGTAATGATTACATGTCGTGGAACAAGAGTAAGTGTAATATTTTAGAGGAAATCTGTCGAAGTGCTATCAATACATCAATGCTACGAGCACAGTCAGATTTGTACGTTCATGAATGTAATCAAGTAGGTGAGACTTTGACGACGCCTGTTCACTTTTTCGAGCATATTGAACCCATATGTTATCTTGACGTGAAAAGGGGCTATAAAATGGCTGCTGGTGTACTTCTCACATGCGCCCGATTCGGTTATTTCCCACTAATAATGAATAATCGCTCGATAACGATTATTGTCAAATAGAATCCAAAAACTTGAGGGTGTGGGTGTGGGTGTGGGTGTGCTTCTATTTTATTATACTTAGCTCACACCCACAACCAAGAATGTAACATATCGATAAAATTTCAAACGAAGAATACAATTGTACCTCTAGAAAAGATTAAGGTCATATTGAATAATATAATCAACTGAAGAGCATGAAACGTTCCTAAAGATGATAATACGTCATAGATCGAATCCTTTAATTTTATATTCCTTTTTAGATGAACCCTATTCACAATTGAATTCGTATATATATATATATTTAGAGAGAGAGAGAGAGAAATTGCCAATTCAATTGGTTGCGTCTTATTACTAAGATAATTGTTAAAAACAATAAAAATAAACAGCTTTTTTTGCTATTAGATATTTTCCAATCGTTTGAACAATTAAACTCTCGCTCGTAAACAATGGCGTGATTTCTTTTATCCAAATGTTTCAGATAATCCTTTTTGTTCTATTAAATGACATCTATGCGTAGTTTCTAAGAAAGTTTTCTTCAATCTCTTATGTCGAATTATTTGATAACATGTTTTTATTGTGAATTTAATAAAAAAAAATATTCTTGTTCATTGTAGTCCATTTAACTTGAGTTGGGGTCGTTTTTAATAGTCAGCGTAAACCTTTAGTTGTACATGCCGAGCCAGTTCAGATTCCAAGAGTAAGATTGAGCACAACTCATCATAAAGGAGGAATTCCAGCCTAACATGGAACGCCCATAGACGCGGAAAGAATTGATCGTAGGTAAGAATACATTGTGGTAACACTCTAAAGTATCGTGCATATTGAGCCCACCAATACTAGTAAAGTAGGCAGGCGTTCTATTGAAGTTACAAATTGTTGTATTGACATTCATCCTAATTGTTACAGAATCATGGATTTGCCATAATGTCCAAGACGACACGCTTGCACATTGGAATGGATCTGCGCACACCGTTGATTGATTGCTCTCATTTGCTTGTCTCAATGCTAAAATGAAAGAAGTATATGATAAAATCTACTCAAAATGAAAGCTTATGAAAAACCACCTCTTAATTCATAACGTAGATAAATTGACTAAAGATTTCTTTTTCAAATCTATCGGTGTCATCTAAGAGACAACTAGAGTTTCATGAACATGACAAGGAGGCGTCTTAGCTAAGTGTCACTCACGTTGTTTAAAGAGTTCATTGATACTTAAAATTTATAAAAAGATTTCCTGTTTCTCATCGTACTAAAAGACCAATGGACACGACTTTATTAACTATTGCTGACTCGTTACTAAACTGAAAGACAACCGAAATAGTTATCTCCTATGAAATTCTTATGCATCTCCGGTTGTTCATCGCTGTTGAATAAGGTTAAATATATTGTTGGATATGAGGAAAGTAAGACTGAGCTGTGTAGGCCACAGTAGGATCATACTTTTCCCATGGATACATCTTATTTTTCTTGTTAAGCAGGCAATTCTTCGGCAAGTATATTTATAGACAGTTTCGAACTTTTACTTTAAAGTGTAGCCAACGGATTCAATTCATAAATACAAAGTCTCATTGAGAACAGACCAATGAGGAAGTGCAAGTTCCAAGCGCCGAACTTGCTCCATGATGCTGATAATGTGCTGAGGTGCTGGAGGTTCCAAATATGCACTTTCCCCCTTAGAAAAGACTGTTGTTGAAACTTTTCAGAAGCAGTAGAATTCTCAGCGAATTCAAGTAGTACAGCATTAATATTTAGGCTCACTAATAAAAAAAAAACACGGCACCTCTCTAGGTAGTAGATGCACTAGAAGTACAAATATTGTACCTGTCGATACAGGCTCCAGTGATTTATGAAATTAACGTGCTTCTTTTGTAGAACAATCTCATTTAATAACACATCGATTCCTCAATTGCCAACATAGGACATGGAAAGAGAGAGGTCATTTTCTATGATATTATTCAAATGTGCAGGATCATCTAGCGAATGATCAACAACTTTTTCATTGCGATGAAGTCAGCGTTCAATGTCAAATTTTCATTAAATTTATTCTATAGAATCCTAGTTTTCGAGCAAAGTCATACTTTTTGAGTCGGGTCAAACATGCATCTGGCACATGGGCTTGCATAGCAATGACGTGTAAAACGTTTTAGAACTGTTCGACAAAATCTCTGCCAATTAGAAATGCTTCAGGCAATACACTCCTGATAATACTACTAGAGGGAAACAACAGATTTTTGGACTTCAAGTTACTTTCAGCTACTTTAAGCTACTTTTAGCTACTTCAAGCAATCTACTTTGATGTAATTTGACGTACTTTTCTACTTCAAGTCTGCTGTTTCCCCCTTGTAATACTAACTGAAAAACACAATGATATGTCACTATGTGAGTTTAACTATTCTAAGATAGAACTCAAACATATTTAGGATTATGTGAAAATTTTAAGACTGGCAACTCTCATCATATGTTGCATTTTAGAATTACTTTTATTCTAGTGCTGAATAATTTTTCCGATGAATTCCAAATTTTCATGAGAACATTTTTAACTAACAATTTTATATACGGAACTAGCAAACTACCGTAGTTGACGAGAAAAGTCTTGCCTATTTAATGTTGACTTGATGAGACTTAGCACATTCCATTTTCGTACTAATCATTTGGTTTCATCGAAATCGAAGTATTGATTTCAGCAATGATGATGCACATTCATTCAAATCGCATGTGAGGCTCTAATCTAGGAAATCTTTGATACTGTTTCAACAACTATTTTAGATGAATTCAATTGAACATAGAAATGATTAGATAATACCATTATCATTATTTCGCCAGCAGTTACTGCGATTATTTTCGGCGATGGATCATTTTACGAAATTGTTCTCGATGAGTGCATTGTCAATTGATTGATGACTTTAAGAGCCACCATGTTCAGTCGAGTTCTTTTTTCCTGAATAGGTGCGAAGAGCTCAATGCTTATCTGCTACTCTACAGTGCGATCAGTTACAGGCCGAAGTTTCATCATAATTATAAATAAATATATCATGGAGTAGTAGAAAAGTCGAAAGGCAAATACTAATGGAAAAGTTATCTGAATTCACTTTAATAAGAGCTCATGGCACTAAATCAAGTAAAGCAGTTTTCAAGAAGCCGAACTTAATCGAGATTATGCCGTTATGAGTATGCAAATGCAAGTTTGTTTGCCGATGAATGCTATGTGCATGCTTTCAAACTGAATCAGGAGCGAAATAGCAGACCAATGGTCCAATTCTCAGTTTTCCCTGTGAGAATGTGTGACCAAGAAAAGTCAGATATAGCAACAAATATTTGATTAAGTAATTAGCATACAGCAGTGTATCCAAATATATTGCTTCGTTGGAATCTCATTGATACGGCGATGTCGCACGTTGACATGACTCATTCTTTAGTGTTATCCTCTATTCTCCTTCATCCTCTTTCGATCTCTATTGGTATCTTTCATTTTTCGTTCTTCTTATACATACTATCTATATAGGTTACGTTTGCTTTTCGTTTCTTTAGTAATAAAAGATCGTGCATTCACATCAGTATAAATAACATATATAAGAAAGAAAGAGAATGAATCTATAATACTCATCCTATGCGATTTTTTTCTACATTACACACCGAAATATCAACTTTTTGAAATTAGATTAATCCATAGCGAAGTAGTCTTGCGGATCCTAAAAGAAATTATTTTCGATCTGACAAAATATTATACAAAAGGCTGACTTATCAATGTCAAAATAATAATTGATTTCGATAGTGTATTTAGCATTTGGAATTTTACTCCGAACAATAACACCAAAATCAATCTTTGAATATTTGTTTAGAGAGTGAGTGAAAACACTCTTGTAGTGACCCGTGTACGATCAATAATTAGAATAAGACTAGTAAGCTGAGTAGCTCGCACAATAGCTGAGACCGGAGTCCTATCCAAAGCTTTCATTCACACATTGAATACAGTTGACAAATTTGAGAGCAAAAGTGATGGAGTACCGCTCAGAATATGGAGGAAGGTTTTTCTCGGGTTCAAAAGTAGGCATTTTAAAATATTTTCGACGGTGTTGATTTCTTCGCGTTAGAAAGTTCCAAATATTATTCTAATATTCTGCAAATCCTCGAGAGTATCCTCTACAAGCTGTCAAGACATCAGCTCTCACTACGATGCTCTGGTTTTGCTGGGCAATAGCGCAAATTGGTTTGCAAATTTTTTTGCGCCCTAGTCGAACATCTTGTAAGCAAGATGTTGCCCAAGATCTTGGGTAAAGATAACTGAGCAGATCTTGCAAATTTAGGCACAATATAACCGTATTATCTTGTACCAAGATCAAGCAAGCACTGAAAATAAAATTTTCAAGTCAACTAAATGCAAATCAAAAGGCCAAGAGTGTGTCACTGCAGTTGGTTTCACCTGAAAGCGATTTCTTGACTATTTCTAACAATACCAGAGCGATAAGTCTACACTCAAACGAAATTTGCAAAGATGAATTTCATATGACGCGTTGTTGATCTACACACTACAAATGATGCTCCTGGTCTTTTTCTGGTGTACATGATTTTGAATTTTCTAGAAACAGTCCTTCTTTTTAAGTTGAAACTTTTGAGTGATCCTCTTGTTTCCTCCTAGAGGTCTAAGAAAAAAATTAAACGCATTATATTCTGGAGAAGGAATACTAGAATCCTCTGTATCAGCTTATCCATTTAGTTATCACTAATAAAAGTAAAAATTTATCTAATATCAGTGTTCAGTGAAACATACCGAACCAATTGAGATCCCAAGCGTAACTTTGAGCATAACCAAGCATAGTGGATGAATTCCAGCCTAGCATCGAACGAGCAAGGACTCCAAAAGAATCAATCGTAGGAGAATATATAGCATCATAACTCTGCAAAGCATAAATATGATTGAGTCCACCCATACTGGTGAAGTAGACAGGTACTCCACTAAGATTACAATTTGTTGTATCAATATTCATCATGATTGTATTCGTATCGTGGATGTTCCATAACGACCATGACGAAATGCCTGTACAGTAATACAAGTATGTGCAGTTTGCTGACTGATTAATACTGTTAATTGGGGCCGATGCTAAAAGATAAAAATCCACAATGCAATGTATAGAATACATGGAACTATGACAATTATGGTTTGATAAGAAAATAGTTGCTAAAGGAAAGAGTAATTCAATGATTACAGCATTCATATCGATGGTTAAATATTTGCCATCGAAGTTTGCAATTTCATACGGTGGTTGATTATAGTTTGGCAAATGTTACATCATGATATAAGAATAAAATTTAGCTGTATTTCTCCAAGCATTTATTGTTTATGGATATCTGTATAATTATTCACTATAAGATAGATTTTTAGACGGCGAAATAATGCATCTACACACATCTCTAGTTACCTGTCAGAAATGCATACGATGAGTAAAGTATCTCTTGTCGATTTTTCGAAAGACTGAGTTTATTTTTTACAAAGGCCAAATAATATTAAACGTTCCCCTTGCGTGTACACGTGCCTTTCTCACGAACTGTGTGTCAATAATTAGAACAAAGGCTTTATGTGCTCTTTCAGATATATCGACAATAGCTTTTAATAGTTATCGGATGTTGTCACATTTCAATCTACGAGATCTACTTATATAAAAATTATTTTGAGTGTGAAATGACTTTGAAAATTTGTTTTTGTAGAGGAAAACAGTTAAAACATCCTTACAATATATATGTATCTACTATGAGACTACAATAAATCTTTTTGAGAAATAATATCAAGATCTTATAAAACTATGTGTTTTCTTTCTGCAGAGCCTTTGGATAACGGTGTCATAAGTCATAATTAACAACTACCTACTATCTTAGTATTAATTCCAACGACAAATTAAGATATCTGTGTAATCATTTCGAAACAGAACTAAAGCGGTGAAATAAAGGTGCGGTGTGGATTTACAGATTTATTGTGGAGATCATCTATGAATCCGTAATAATTCATGTATTTTACTAATGAATTCAGCGCATATTCGTCTCAACAGACGTTTAGCATTAATATATGGGCTCTCTGAAAATGACAGATCATTCCATTCTTATGTGGATTATTTTCGTTTAAGAGTTGTAAAATAGTTTCGAATTCAACTGAAAGTATTGAAATGACTTTCGATTGAACTAAACTGAACAGTCACAAGGTTTTCGGAAAATATTGAATTGACTCATGATATTTTTATTACAGTTTTGAAATGAACCAAAATTACGCATGACATAAGATTTGTCAGAGAGTTTTGATATAATTTATTGCAAAATAAGGTGGAGTTTACGGATCTTCATATACCTGTTTTGGATTTTGCTGAACGACGTAAACATTGATACTGTATTCATAATAATCGATGTTTGCAACATCAACAGGCATAAGGTTTTCGTGGTACTCCTTCGATTTATTGGAGGGTTCTAGCGGAATCCTATATAGCAGGTGATGAAACGAGCTCAAGAAATCAGATCGAGAGATATTAGAGGAGATCCATTGACTATACTCAATGACTGCATTGTGAATCGATATCAAACACGAAATACTTGACTAATGCTACTTGCAATTTGTTCAACTACAATTTATTTGATTTTCTCGTCGCCCATGAATTAAAAATTACATGGAGTGACGTCGTTTGGTTTTTTTGTTGTTGATGGGAATACCTTATCAATATCAGATTGCCTTAACGAGTTATATTTTGAATGCACCAGTGGATAATATTCGTTGGCAAAGATAATTATTGCCTTCATGATTTACTCTGGTCATATAATTTTTTGATACAGAAAACAGTTTTTATCGAAACTAAAATTAACAATATGTTAATACATACCAAACCAATTGAGATTCCAGGCGTTTGCTTGGGCATACGAAAGCATAGTTGTTGAATTTTGACCTTGGATGGAATAAGCAAAGACTCGAAAAAAATTAATCGTAGAAGAGTATATCGCATTGTAGCCTACTGCAATAGAATGCATGCTGGTTCCAACCAAGCCAGTAAAGTAAACAGGCATTTCACTAAGACTACAATTTGTTATATTAATATCCATCGTGATTGTATTCGGATCGTAGATACGCCATAGCGAGGACGGCGAAGCACCTGTGCATTGGCATGTGTATGTGCAAATTGTGGATGGATTGCTTGGAACGGTTGAGACTGATACTTCAGTAAGAAAAATAGAAGAAGCTACATAGTTTGAAGCTATGACTTAAACTGTGTGATAATTCTTCAGCAGATACATTTTCTAATAAGATTCAATCCCATTAGGAGTCTAATAGGGGCATTGAAAGGATGAGATAAGGATTCAAAGGTGAATTTTTTAAGCTATATTTAAGATCTTTCAGTTGGACACAGGTTTAGTCTATGTTGTCAGTATGTCAGTTTTTATAGTATTATTATCAAACGTAACAGAATCTAAAAGTGTTGTTACCGTCACCCTCAGCATAGATCCCAACTACACTACTTCAACATTCCAGTTGTATCTGCTTAGTATAGAAGAGAAGCTTATATATATGAGAGGGAATAAGTAAAAATTAGAGAAATGAATGACCAGCTCACAATTATTAGCCATGAAGTCAGAGAGTATCCAGTCACATAGTAAGTAATTGCTTTCAAATTATGGAATAGATAGAAGATTTATATAAGTTGTGTATTTACTGGTGACGTAGAGGCTGAATGTGTGATGCTCGCGATCTATTGCAATGATCTCATTTTTTTCTCTGCTCTTGAATATCGTTCTAAAGACGAAATTATTCATGATGTTCTTTCCTTTTCTTAAATGAGTAGAGGTGAAAATATTTCAATAAGGAAATTAATGTTGAAAGTGCGGATGATCTACACAAACCGCCGTGCTTTTGTTTAATACATTGAGGTTTAGGTCATAGGTTGTGGCTAATAGTCGAGCGCATAGTTTACATAAAAGAAGCGAGAATTTCACAATGCCACAAATTTTAAATATAAGGAAGCTAAGTCCAAAATCTATTCAATAATTGAGTGTATTGGTGTGTAAGGAGACAGACTGAAGATATACACCATACCCTATACCATTAAGGTTGCTCACACAATATCTTCTATCGTGATCTGTTGTTTATACACTCTGATTCTTTGTATCAATGCCATTGTGGGGATTTAAATTGTTTTTGAAAACGTTGAAAGTTGAGAAAAACATGAAAACGTTAAAATAGTTATAATTAATAAAGGTTACAACATTCAACCGTGGTAATCTCGCTTAACCCTGATTATAACTGTCAACCCTATTTACAACTAATAGCTTATAATCAAAATATTTGAGATCAAAAACTAATTAGCTCATGTCTATCAATGCATCAATATCAAAGAAAAATGAAAAAATCGATGATCTTTTCCAAATCATATTCCAAATCGTTCAGCACCTATCTTATAATCATATACTGCTAATATTAATGGGCCTAACTGAAGCTGTTTCTTGAAACATACAGATAAAAATAAAAATTGAGATTCAAAATATCGAAAACTGCATAGTTATGATAAAAATCAATGTTCGTCGACTTCATAAAAATGCGAACAGTAGCGTTGAAAAATTGCAAACCTTTCTAAGTCAAAACTAGCATTCTTACTGTTTGAATTCTAAACTAATTCTAAAGAGATAGAAATATGCAAAATCTTTCCTAGATGCACATAGTTAGAAAAACATAATTGACATTTTATCTCTCTTTTTACTGTCGATTCTGAGTGTCGCGTAACTTACATTTTTATTTCTCTTTCCATTAATTGTGAACACGAAATCTCTCGTGTATCTTCTGTTATCGGTTTTTTACGTACAGTCTATACAATTAGCAGTTTATGTTGCGATAGCTACGAATCAAAAATGATAATATATTAGAAACAATGCCTTTATAGCTTTATCGATTCGGTCTATTATGTTGTCCGAATTTTAAAGTTAAAACTGGTAGAATAAGAGAAAGAAAGAGTGAACAAACTTATGCATAACATGCGATTATCGCTCTTTATCTTCATAGACAATCTAATAGAGAAGAGAATAGCTATCCATGTGATTTACTTTATTTCATTTTGTTGTTCGCCTTTTGGATTGAATAGTTGACATTCTATATTCTTCAACGATTTTATTTTAATTTCCATTATTTAATCTTTAATAGTGCAGCACTTCCATCATCGCCTTCAGATTCTCAAATTTCTTCGACAGCAGTTACTCATAGTTCTTCTTTCATTTCATTGGAACCACCAAAACAAGGTGGTCGTCACTGCGATTTTATTTGGTTACATTTCAATGACATCGGTCCGACGAAGACATTAGGTCATCGAAAAGCGCAGTGTAAGTAGTGCTTAGCGCGTCTGAATTTCTCAAAGTTCACAATAATATATTCTCATATTGCACATCACTGCAATGAAGTTGTTAATTATGATCTCAATGCACGCGGAAAAACTATTATAAAAATACGTGATCTGGTAAAACAATCATTAAGTGCAAGAAGTAATAAGTGAACTACAGATGTATCATAGCTTGATTACTATTTCAATTGATTCTAGTAATTTTGCGGAAGTCACATATATTTTCGAAGAAAATGGTGAGTGTAAGTTTAAAAGAGGGATTTTTGCATCCCACCCATTATAGACATGAGCGAGTATGAAAAAGCTAAATAAGTCATTTTTTCTACTGATCGATTGTCTTGTAACACATTTCACACTTTACGCATTCTGTATTAGTAGAATTAGGCGAAAAGTCATATGTGAGTTACACACTTAACTCCCAAAGGGGCTGCGCTAACAAGCGTTTTCTAGGTAGTACTGATTGATCCACTGGCTCACAAGCAGCCTACAATGGATAGATGCACTTCTCGAATTATGTTTTATGGTGAACAACAAAACTTTGATCGATATTTATTACTTGCTTCTATTATGAGTAGTAATTCATTTAGAATAGCAAACAACTCTTTTTCGTGAAACATGATTTGAAAGGAGTGTTGAAGTAGATAGGGTAGAAATTTGAACCCCCCCAATTTCTGCGAATCACTTTCTTTTTAACTCTACTTATAACATTGAACCATGGTTACATCTAACAACTACTATTATTTCACAGAGAAATTTATTTATTAGTTAATTGGTTACTTGGTTAA